TGCCACGTCCAGCGGGGAGCCCCCAATGCCGGCCCTCGGCTCCGACAGGGGACTCGGGGAGCCCCCTGCGCGCCGGCGCCTCCCCGCGCTCAGGGCGCCTCGCTGTCCCACCGCGTCCCGGGGCCGCCGCGGGGCTACCGGGCGGACTTCGGAGCGGCCGCAGCCTCCGCCCTCTCGTGCCCGCGGGGCCGGCTCAGCTCGGCTCCCCAAGCTCCCATCCTCGTCGTCGCCGCCGCCGCCGCCGCCGCTGCCGCCGCCTTCCTCCCGGTCGGGGACCACACGACTTCGCCAAAGTCGCCGCACCAGCCCCGAGCGTTTGGACCTGAACATACGATATCCTTTGGCGCCGGGGGTGGGGGGGAGGCGGTCTCCGGTCACCGGGGGTCCGTCCCCTCAGCGAGGCGCCGGCTGCACGGGCTGCAGCCCCACATGAAGCTCCGCAGCGGAGCGCCGTGCAGACCGCGCACAGCTTGTCGTCGAAGGGGCGCCGCAGGGCTGCAACATGAGGGAGCTCGCCGGGGCCGGGAACGCGCGCACGCCGAGCCGCAGTCCGCGCCGGGCCGCAGTCCGCGCCGGGCCAGCGGCTACATGGACCGCGGCAGCCCGGCTGTTCAACAACTCCAGCCCCCGCGCTTTAGGGGGGCTGCAGGCGGCACGCCGCCAGAAAGACCCCGCATGGGCCGGGGAGCCTTCAAAAGTTGCGCAGCGGGTCCATGAGCACAAAGCGCTCGCGCCGAACCCCCAAAGGTGTCTGGAAAGCTCTGCCTTTAAAACCCAAGCGCTGAACTACATGGGCTTTTCCTGCAGGATCCAAAAGGCAGGCTTGCTGATAACCTCAGCTCCTTCCTTGTTCCCTGCAAAAAAAGGAAAACAGAGGAAAGAGAGAAAAAGAAATCCCAAACAAACCCAAATCCCTGGATTTGCATGCACGAAAGGCCAACTCCGTCTCAGGTCCCAATAGATGCACTTGGAGCTAGTTTCTCCTGAACGCGGGTGTCAACACATGAGTGGAAGCTGTAAAAATCCCAAAGAGCTGCTGGGAATCCTTAATTAAAAATGCAATCCACCGAAGCAGAGGTCGCAGCCTGCCCCACGCTGCGCTCGGACGCTCCGGGCGCCGCGGCTGCCGAGCTCGCCCCCCCTCCCCCCTCCACTAAAGTGCCTCCCGGTGGCCCCGCGGTCCCTGCGAGGTCTGGAGAGGCAGCGCCCGGCGGTTCTTTCTCTCGGCTTGGCTCTCTCGCTCGCTCCCCCGTTCGGGTCTCTCTCTCTTTTTTGTTCTCCTCAAACGCACACTGAGGGCCCCCGGAGGAGCGCCGCGGAGTCATTGGCTGCCTCCCATCATATGCCAGTCTAGACACTTTGGCGGCTCCGCGGCGCTGATTGTTGCGCAAACAAGGTTTCAAGTTTCTTAACTCTTAAAGGAGAACACGTCCCATTGCACGGCCCGAGGCTCCGAGGGGCCGGCTCCCGGGGCGGGCNGGGCACGGATGCGAACGAGCGCGCACACACACCCGGTTACACAAACCACGGGCGGGCGCGCGAGGGCTCGGCGGACCCACCGAGACTCGGACGCAAACCCGGCGCTTTGCCTCTCCTGGCTTGTGCACAAAGTTACGAGCACACATTGCACTTTAGAGTTGGTCCAACCCCCCATCCCATGGTAGGCTAATAAAAATGGGTGTGCATGTGTGCCTTTCTGGCTTGCGTCTCTGGGGAGCAGGGGGCGGCTGATATATTGGGGTAGCGGGATCTTCCGTGACTGCACTAGGGCTCCACACCCACTGCGCAAAGTCGGGGGTCGCTCTGCTAGGGCCAAATGGGGGCGTGGGACACTGTCCGCACGGGGGCTCCAGGCTCGCCCCCGATGGGGAGCTGGAGAGGGTGGGGTAGAGGCGGGAAGCGTCTCCTCGCTGGCTCCTCTCGGTCGCCACAGCCCTCCCTCAGAGCAAGGCGGGCCGCCTGCGGTCCCGGGCCCCCCTCGAGGCCGGGTGCTTCCTCCTCCCCCTTCGCCAATTTACTTTCTGCACCTCGGAGAGGGAGGTGGGCAGGGGGTCGCACTTTCTCAAGCGATATTTCACTACGAAAATTGTGGTAGGTTGGGGGTGGGTCGGGGGCGCGGCGGCAGCAGCCGGACGCCCGGCGCGGGAAGGGTTAAGGCTGCTCCTGCCCCTGGAGCCGGCGCGGCGGGGTACCTCCTCGGGCGCGCTAGCTAGTCCGAGGGTGGCAAAAGTTCAAGCTTGTAAAGTCGGGATTGGTCCCGCGCGGAGGGGAAAAAAGGCCTGGTCCCCCCTCCCCCCCCCGGGCGCAGCGCCGATTGGCCGGGCC